ACTGAGAAGCAGTCCCAACTCATTCATATGTTAAGGTATGTAAGCCCAAAAGTATACTCAGGTGGCTCTTCAGTCCTCTGTCATAGACTGAGTCCAGCTGGATCACTGAGAAGTATTTATATAAGCTGTCCCAAAGGCTGCCAGGGCTGAAAGTGCCTGGTTCATCCAGGTAGCCTCTGCCACAGGGCGACTCTTCTCCCAGCAAGGAAGATCTTTGAGCTCTGAGTTGAGAGATTCTTTGTTACAGCATAAGGCAGTTTCTTCTTCTTTTCCCATTTTCTTGGCTCCCTAACCAGAGGACAAAACATCAGGTGCCAACTTGCTTTTCCTGCCATGAAGTCCCTTGTACATACATTTTCTTTTTTTTTTTTCCTAAAGCTGCCCTGAGGTCTTTTTTTTATTCATCTGTACTGCAGCATGATGGCCAAAACTGTCCTAGCACTTGACCTATAGAATCTCAAGCCAAAAAGATGGAAAGTTATTCCCATATTTGATGTTAATGTTCACGTTGTCATGGTAACAGATTTTTGTCTCAGGTTCCTCTTTCCTTGTTTGTTTTTGGCAAGAGTATCTCAGCCTGTGGCACCGTAACCTTATGTATTTTTGTCAGTATTCCCGCCTGCCTAGCTTTTGGATTTTTGTGTTGTTGCATCTGATCTCCTTCAACCTACCACCAGCCTGTCAAAGATCCGGTCAGGAATTCCCTGCAATGTCCAGGCTGGAAGCTCATCGAAAGCAAGCTTGTAACCCAGTGTTACACCCTGACTTCCCCGTTCATTCGAGAAAATGTCACCAGAGGTACTGTGAGAAGTTGCAGTGTCAGCATGTCCTTCTCTGGAGGTTCGTTTGTTCTATCCACCAGGCTTACTTCCATGTTTGATTGTGTTAAGTGTTAAATTGTCTTTGTGTGCTTTATTCTTGACCTACCTGTTGATTCTTATTTATTCTCTTGTTACGATCTGAGCATTTCTGTATTGGTTGCTTGGTACACATTTTCAGCATCTCTTCTCTTTTTGAAGGTAGCTCATTGGTGCGTTGGTACCCAGCTGCTCCATTCTAAGTGGACAATGGCTTCCTGTAGTCTGATGAATCTTCTCCATGAATTTCCAAAATTCATGGTTTTGGTTGACGACAGCTCTCGCTACATTGCATATGGGGTAGTTTCAATGACTTCCAGCTTCCCATAACTGAGCGCTCTCACGGAGTTCTTCACCTGCCATTTTCTTTTTCCAAATAGATATTTGCAGCCAGTTCCCTGAATAGTTAAAATTATGTTCTCTTGATGTTTGTCACCTTTACTTCCTCCATTTTCTTCTCCTGTTGCACCTTCCCTTTTGCTTCCAGATGTCTGAGGTACACACAGTGATACTACATAACTCCTTTTTGGTAGGCTTTTTTGGTTTGTTTTGCTAACCCACTTTTTCACTTCTGTGACAGTTGCACTGTTGTGACTGTCCCGCTAATTTGACTAATGCGTTTCTAAGGGTATTCCTTCTCTTCTCAAATTAGATGCCCAGTCTCTTCATCAGTCCTTCATGGAAAGCCATCCTCTAGCTCACAGCCAAGAGTGTCTGAGGTCTGTTGGTCACTTGCTGTGCTTGTCCGTCTGTCTGTGCCTGTCCTGCCTGCCGGGTGGGCTGATGACAGCACAGGCTGTGATCCCGCAGCCATCATGCTGCCCATCATCCAGCAGCTCTGCTAGCAGGGCAGGGTAATTAATAGGTAGCAGTCTTCACTTAATCAGTGTTAACTTGTAACCTCTTCTCTGTCTTTTGAGCCCCTTCTGTGGTGGTCGCGGGGGTCTCCTTCTGCTGGTGGGTTCCTCTGCAGGCAGTATCTCCACGTGCTCCTTGCTGGTGAAGTCCCTGTGGTCCTGGATGCTTTGCTGTGGAGGCTGCCTCCTCCCCCCCCTTACAGAGGGGCCTTCGGGAAAGCT